TGATAAAAAGTTGATAAATCTTATTCTTGAAACGTTGTGAGTCTCATTAAATATATGATTGCTTTAGAAAATGGGGGAAGATAAAATAACTAATTTTAATGTCTGTTAGGTAAACAACTCAGATTGAGTTTTGATGAAGGAATCCATAAATCAAAGAATGAATTGGATTATGTACATTCTAATTTATGGAAACCAGAACATGGTGCTACCCTTGGATGAAATAAATACTTTTTATTAATAATAGACGAGGGTTGTGCCATTTGTCAAAAGTATTTTGACAGATGTAGTGACAGAAGTATAGGTAGCGTGGGTGATTAGATGAGAAAGTTGAATGTGACATTATGTCAACCTTTATGTGAACGACTTGCATGTAGTATGTCATTTCATCTGTGAAACGAGCTAAAAAGCTTTTCAATTTCTCTCCAAGTTACTGTCTCATGTCCCGAAGGCGCTGCATAGGAGTTTCTCCTTCTTTATTTGTTGCGAATCGCTTCAAGAAGGCGCTTTTAAGTTCCGGCCAACTCTAATACTCCAAACCAGATTTCGATCCCTCCACTTAGAGTCAAGTGGAAGGATAGCGAGGGAGGAGCCCTTCGGAATCATGTGCATTTTGTGGGCTATTCAAGTGCTGAGCTGAGTCACCTCTCCCATCATACTTGAGTATTTTCGGTGGCACATTGTGGCTTGGGACAGGAACATCCCTCAATCCCTGTGAAAAATGTAGATTATCATCATCATGTCTAGGTTGCAAGACCTTTTTGGCTCATCCAAATCCTCGTCTTATTTTTCTTGTACTTAGGTGGGAGAATGAGACAGGCTTGCCTGATCTCACACCACTTCGTTTGGGCTCGCATTGGCATTATTATTATTATTATTATTATTTTAACAATTCTTTGAAGTTAAAAATTATTAGATACTAATTTCTTCAGTTTTCCCTAATTTAAAATTAAAACAACCATTTGAACCCAAAGTCAAGTGATCAACGAATCTTATTTACGGCAGCAAGTGATGCAATTAATGCATAATCTTAGATTGTAGAGGGTTGTGATGATGAGGAGTGTGATTGGGTGGAG